CTTTTCTTCTTTTTAGAGCTCTTCTTCTTTCCTTCTTTTTAAAACACTACTCCTTTTCTTGCCTGTAATAAATACCCCCTTTTTTTTCTCTTTTTTTTGGTACTGGGGATTGAACCCTGGTTCTTGGGCTTGCGAGGCGGGCGGCAGAACCACTGAGCTAAATCCCCGGCATAAATGCCTTTAATATGGTTAATAAATGAGAAAGTTTCAAGCTCACTGTTCTTCAAACAGAACCATTACCTGGGACCGCTGGCCATTCAGTGGCACCATTTAGTGACACGGTCATGGTCTGGAACTGTAAAACCGTGTGCAAAATAACCTCTTCTCTTCATAACTTTATTATCTCTACTACTGGTTACAGAAATAGAGAACCAACACATGTGTAGTATATGTGTCTACAAAAAATGCTAAACAGGAAAACGAAAGCGGGCAGGGAGGGAAGAGGGGATGGCGTTTCAGAAAGTGGCCAGGAAATGTCGCACTGGGAAGACGACATCCAGATGCAAGCAACGAGGGCGCCAGCCACAGGGAGACCTGGCAACAAGAGACAGAACAGCAAGAGCTAAGCCGGGGATGGGAGAGCCGTGTGCCAAGACCGCAGGAGCGGGGAACCGAGAGCGAGCAGGTGCCCAAGGCTGTGGTCCTGCCTGAGACCGCTGTCTCGTCGGTGACTGTTTCTGCCTCACTGCAGGGACAACACAACCCCTTGCCGAGTTCAATCACCGTGATGAGCAGCTGAAGGGAATCCTTAGTCGGTTCATTCATTTATTGAAAAAAAAATTAAGTGATCTATTCAACAGCTATTGTTAAATTCTTTTGGGAAAACAAATTCCAAGAGGCTTCAAGTATTTTTACTTTTTGGTCCAGTTATTCCCTTTCCAGACAGACTTGTATCCAACAGAAATAACTGGAAATGCAGATGAGAAAAGAAGATACGCAATGTGTTTTGGGGTGAATAGTGTCCCCCCACCTCAAAATGTCACATTAAAGCCCTAACCCCCAGGAGCTCACACTGTGATTGTATTTGGAGATCTGACCTCACAGGGGTGTAATTTAAAACAGGACCCTTGAGGGACTGGGGATTTAGCTCAGTGGTTCCACCACCTGCCTCATAAGCATAAGGTCCTGAGTTCGATCCCTGGTACCAAAAACAAACACAAACACACCTTGGGGTGTGTCCGGAGCTATTCTAACCGGTGTCCTCCAAGGAACAGGACATTTGCCCAGGCAGGGAGACACTGGGCTGCTCCAGGACAGAGGAAAGACAATGTGAGGACACAGCAAGAGGGTGGAGATGTCCTGCACACCAAGGACAGAGGCTGCAGGAGGAGCGGACCGGCTGGCACTTGGGCTTTGGACTTGCGGCCGCCAGCACTGCGTGGAGAAAGTAAATCACTGTTTAAAGTCTGCAGTCTGAGATACCCTGTCACAGCAGTGTTAGCAGTCACTATATACATAGGGTTTAAAATAGAGAAAAATTACAAATAGTGTAAACGTTCACTAATTATGAAAAGAACATTACAGAACCACCAAAATGCTAAAGCTACAGGGAAAAATATTTGCAAGATAATGTGTAGCAAAAAAAAAAAAAAAAAAAGAGGCAAGATATATTTTTGTGTGTGCAATTTTAACTATGTTGTAGAAAACCTATGGAAGAGAAAAAAAGCTAGGAACAAAACAGCAAAGTGTATTATTTTTAATGACTGTCACCATTATTCATGTTGTCCTTTCTTCACTAATGAGTTTAAACTGTTGGCATTGAAAATACATTCGTAGGGGCTGGGGGGATAGGATGAATTAGTAAAATAATAATAAAATCCACGCACACACACACACACACACACACTCACAAAAGAAAATATATTCTCCTGCCGGGGATTTAGCTCAGTGGTTCCACCACTTTCCTTGCAAGCACAAGGACCCAAGTTCGATCCCTGGTACCAAAAAATATATATACATTCTCTTGATTCTCAGCATCACAAAAGAAAGGAAGAAAATAAATGCCACTCAAAAAAGTAAGTTGGGCAGGGCATGGTGTCACATGCCTGTAGTTCTAGCTACCTTGGAAGCCGAGGCAGGAGAGTTTCAATTTGGAGGAGGCCAGCCTGGGCAATTTAGCAAGACCCTGATTCCATTAAGGGGGAGTGGGGTGGAGATGTAGCTCGGCAGTCACAGGGTTTAATCCTCAGTATTGTGAAAACAACAACAACAATAATAATAACTGGGGGGTGACTCAGTGGTTGACAACGTGCTCAGCCTGCACCAGGCCCTGGGTTCCATCCGCAGAAGCAAACGGGGGAAATACGTGGTTTCGCGGGTGAGCCTGCCCCTGACAGAGCAGGACCTCCGGAACGAAGAAGGACGTGTTACGACCGGCCTTCCACAATGAGTAAAATCACTGTGCACAGCAAACGTGCACTGATAACAAAACATAATCTACACATTCGGAAACACCGGACGGGAGCCGTCTGCTTAGCCACAGCTGTAGGTCTCCGTCTGTACCGCACCAAGAGCCCTGCGCACCGGGCGGCCTCGCAACACAGCGACCTTGGTCAGCCCAGGGTGACTGAAACCTGTTCCTTCCGAGACCCCAGGCCAGGGCAAGCGCCTCTTGCTGTCTGGTACAGACCCCTCCCAGGTTCTGGCCTCCTGGGCACCTGCCCAGCCTCCCTGCACCGGGTGACCCTCTCCTTCTTGCCTCCCTCTGGTGCAGGGCCGCCAGCCACCCGAGCCAGAGCGCTAACTCCCTCTCTCACCACCCACACCCAGCCAAGTCCGGGCTACACAGTCTCCAGCCTCGCACCTCCCAGCCCCACCTCCTCCCGGCCGCCTTAGTTTAGACCTTGAGAGACCCGCGCGGGTTGCTCCTTCATTCCGTGGTCAGCCAGGGTCCAGGAATGTGTCCGTGAATAAGCCAGGGGTGACTTGCCCCTCATAAAGCACATCTGAGAGGACAAAGGACAGTAATCCGAGAGGCTTACAGTGTGTAAGGACCAGGCTGTCCTAGAAGGGTGACGCCAACGCAGACAGAGAGCTGAAGGACCAGAGTCCCGGAGAATCCAGGACAAACTCCAAGCCAGAGAAGCTGGAGAAGGGTCGGCTGGCCGGGGCCTGACGGGAGCCAGGCGTGGGGGCGCAGAAGAGTCCGAGTTGGGCTGGTTTACTGTCCAGGGCTGGGGGTGGAACCCGGGTCACACGCCTGCCAGCCCGAGCCGGAAGTTTGTTTCAGACCCTGGAAGGTTTAAGGAGGAGAGAGACTTATCTCCCTGCGTTTCGGTTCTGCCGTGTGGGCGCCGGCTTGGTCTTCCTAGGATAAAATCTAGCTGTGTCCCTCTGGAGCTTAAACTTCAAGAGGCTCCCCATTTGCCTCCAGACTTCCCCCAAGATGCTCAGGCCGGCCTGTCAGCCCTGGCCGCCTTCCTCCCCAGGTTTCGCTGCACGCTGCGTGCCGTCTCCCGGGCTCCCTAGTCCCTGAGGGCACAGCACCCTCCAGATCGCCGATGATTCCGGGCACTCGCACCCTCCCACGTCATCGGACGCGAATCTCCCAACTCTGCCCAGTTCAGACCCCACGATCGAGTTCCGCCAGAGGAGCAAGTCCAGATGCGGACGCTCAGTGTGGTTCCAAGGGAAACGGCGCGGGGCTTGCAGACCTTGTCTTTGGGCTAGGGTGTCCCCACCACACTACCCCGCACCCTGAGCCTCGCCGTTCAGACAGCACTGGGGGAGACTGAGAGTAAGAACGCGTTCCGGCCCCGCCAGCCAGTTACTTACTAGCTGCCTCTCGCCCTTCTGCAGGGCCACGCCCCGGGGCTCGGCTGACCTCGGGTGACCGTGGGCGCCAGGTCACGGCCGCCACGCTGCTTAACTTCCTGCTGGTGCTCAGCATGGCGAGGAGGGGTAAGAACGGAGAAGTGAGGAGTCTGCGGCACAGCAGGTGACCGCGGGGTCTGAAGGCTTCCAACAGAAAGAGACAAGTGTTTGAGGGATGGACGTGCTAATGTCTGACTGGACACCTGCGCACTATATTCCCGCATCCAATTTTCATACTGCTCTCCACAAATGTGTACATTTATTAAATGTCAATAAAAACTTATTAATCACAATAGAAAACAGACCTATACACAGGCCTGGTGGTGCATCCCTGTAATTCCAGCACTCTGAGGGCCTGAGGCAGGAAGATTATAAATTGGAAACCAGCCTGGCCAATTCAGCAAAACTCTGTCTTGAACTGAAAAGGCCTGAGGAAGAATCTCAGTGTGAGGACCCTGGGTTCAATTCTGCAGCATTGAGAGAGAGAGACAGGAGTATGGAAGGGAAGGGAGAGGAGGGAGGAGGGGCTGGGACTAAAGGTGACCTGGGAGGTGGTAAATAACTTGCTCCCAATATTTGGAGAAGGGAGATCCTAACCCTAGCAATACTTGGGAGGTACGCGTGTGTGTGTGACGTGTGCTTGTGCACACAGGATGAGAACTGAACTTTCAAAGGCTCACACATGCTGAGCATGTGTTCTACCTCCAGCTTACACCCCCAGCCCTTTTTCTGTAAGAACTGGCACGATTTTCGTCACATCTACTGTCTACCGAGGCCTTGCCCTACCTCCATCCCAGGTACTGAGCAGCAGGGAGGTGGGAGGAGCTGGCAGGCATCACACCTGTGCTGGAAATACCAACTGTAGACACAACCTCGCTCTGGAACAGAGAACCTACCTCAGATTATAAAAACAAACCAGTCAGGGATGGTGGGGTACACCTCAGGTGCTACTGGAGAGACCAAGGCAGAAGAATCTCAGCTACTAAGGAGGCTGAGGCAGGAGGATCACAAGTTTAAGACCAGGTTAGGCAACTGAGTGACCTAGGAAGACCCAGTCTCAAAAATCGGAAAAAGAATAATAAAATGGAAAGGGCTGATGATGTAGCTCCGGGCAAAGTCTCTGGGTTCAATATCCCACACTGCAAATGAATAAATAAACAAATAAATGTATATAGAACAAAGACGGTACCAAGATTGGGTAGTAGTGAGCTTTTCTGTTCCTCCTTGCTGAGACCACACAGGGGAGGAGAGGCTTACCTGGCTCACACGTCAGCTTTCAGTCCACGGTTGCTTAGCTCTGCTGTTCTGGGCTGGGGCCGCACGGTAGGTTGTGGTGGGGCTGCCTGGTGGAGGCACGGGAAGCAGAGCCTGGAAGGGTTTGGGGTCCCAATTCCACCCCAGGGGAGTGCCCCCAAGACTTAACTCCCTCCTGCCAGCCCCCCTACACACAACAGTTCTGCCGCCACGCAGCAGCACCACCACGGGCTGGGGACCACACCTTTAACGCACAGGCCTCAGGGGACACCCCGGCCCCAAACACTGGCAGGTTGGATATTAATTACACTGACAGTCAGCTAATTGTTGTGGAATTTAGCTTAGCCGCAGCACCTGAAATAGTCTCAGGTTCTACCTTCTTCTAGACGGTGCTTAGTAGTATCCTATCCTAGGGAAGTCACTTAAAAGCAGTGATCAAAGACAGTGGCTTTTGTTCCTCAGCATCTCCTCAGCCCTTCATCCACATTTCACCTTTTGGAGTGTGAGGGTGACCTGCCGAGTCACCCAGCTTCTCAGGAAGTCGGTTGTGCTGGTCACACAGCCCATCCACTCTGGCCCTCCCCGGCCCGGCACAGGCTGCCCACTCCCAATCAGAGCTCTGCACGTCTCCAACGGGACTCCCTGTGTTCCTGTCCACCTGCAGCCCCCACAGTGGAGAGGACAGAGCTGGGTGGACCTGAGCACGCCAGACCTTGGGCACCCACAGGAAGTGAGAGCGGCTGACTGCAGACTGACCACGTCCCAGCTTCACCAGTGCCGGAGCCCTGCCTCCTCCCTGCTTACTGATATGTAAAACAGCAGATTCTGACTCCAACAACAGAGTCTGAAACTGCTGATGGCACCAGCTCTTCCGGCTCTTTGACAAAAACATGGGAGCCAGATCTGTGTTTTGAGGACCAAGTCAGCCACTCTAAAATCAAAGACATTTCCGAGGAATTGTTCTTTTACCTCTCCCTTCTGCATTCCCCTCATAGATTTTCACATTCTGGTAGAAAGTCAGGCTTTAAAAAAAAGAAAAGACAGTCGCTGTTTCAAACTGGCCCTTGTAGGTTCCCAGCTCTCCCTCCTTCCTCCTTCCTTCTCCTCCTGGCTCCTGGTCAGTGACTCAAACTCTCCAGCAGGGTGCAAGGCCAGAGTATCTACTGGTGATCTTGTGATCACACTAACCCCTCTGCTCGAGGCCGCCAGACTCTGACAGTCACCAGGGTGACTGGGGTGGGAGCGAGGAGGCTGCCTGGTCCAAGCGTGGTGCGTTATTTATAGCACGGGCCTCTTCTTTTCTTTTAGAGTCAATCCTTAAGCGCTCTCATAGGCAAGAGAGATGACAGGGACACAGTGCTCCAGAGTGCAAGGTCAGAGCTCTTGGAGTCACCTTTCCCCTGCTGCACGGGGCAAAGTGCCCAGACTCCTAGGTGTGATACTCGCTGAGCCTGAGGGTGACTTCTCCGGGCCGGGTGCGGCCAGAGCTTCCTGCCTTGGGACCTGTGACTCAGCGCCAGGTGGGAAATGTGAGTTCTTGGGAGACTGAGCTTCCTTCTGGGAGTGGTTGGGGTCTGTTAGGCCTCAGGATCCCTTTAGGGGTCTCTGAAAAGCAGGCTGGAAACTGCTGCTCAGAGAGGAGGGAGGGGCCCGGGATTTAGCTCAGTGGGTCTGCTGTCCGCTTCGCAAGCACAAGGACCCGAGTTCAATCCCCGGTACCCAAAAGAAAAAGAGAGGAGGGAGACAAAGGTGACTCTGTATATTAGCATGTGACTGCCACTAAATGGATTAAGAAAAATTAAGTAAAAAGTCTGGGCTTTGGGTGAGGAGTGCGGGAAAGAGCCCTAGGCCCTGGAGGGGTCCTTGACTCCACGGTTCTGCTTTGCTGGTCTGTGCAGCTGTGAGACCTTGCTCCCTTGGGTGACTCTGATGGCTTCTTGTGTTTAAGTTTGGTTTTTTCTGTTTTTTTTTTTGTTTTGTTTTGTTTTGTTTCTTCAGTATTGGGGATTAAACCAAGCACCTTTGCACAGAGCTACATCCTGAGCCATTTTAGTGGTTTTTTTTTGTTGTTGTTGTTTTAAGACAAGTTCTTGCTAAATTGCTAAACTGTCCAGGCTGGACTTGAATTTGAATTTGTGATCCTCCTGCCTCAGGCTCCCAAGTGCCGGGATTACTGGCTTGCAGCACCATGCCTGGCCCTTTTCTGCTCCTAATAAATGTAAACTCTCACCAATAGCAAGGGGTGGGTTTCAGGTAAAGATGAGGAGAGAGAATGCGGAGAGGGTAGGTGTAATTATACCAACCAGTGTTGCCTTTAAACATCCAGCAGGAAATGAACTCCTCTGCCCAGCTGCCATTACTTTCCTAAATCAAAGTCTGTCTGGAATGAACAGATGAAGCTTTCGGTGCTGGCTTGTAGGAGTGGAAGTTGGACACTTTGCCGAAAGAGAAGAGGGCCCTGAAATGACAGCACCTTTCAGAGCTGCTATCTGCCAGCGTCTGAGCTCAGCAGCCCAGGACTCCCAAGCCCCACTTCCCTCCTGCTCGGGTGGACGTCTTCTCGGTCCCTTGCAGCACGACAGGTTTCTCTGAGGCCTAGATTAGCTGTGCTGCCTGAGAAGACCGGGCTCCCCACTCTGCACTCCGTATATAAACCAACTTCTTTTTCTCTTTTGCTTTTCCTTCCTCCCTTCCTCTCTTCCTTCCTGCTTTCTTTCACCACTGCTGAGGATCAAACCCAGGGCCTCAAAGTATGGTGTCGCTAAGCTACAGGAGAATGCTGGACTCCACCTTGGGAGCTACTTTTACCCTTGCAAAGTTGGCTCGGATCCCAAGTCTGCGACAGAAGCGGGGCTGGGACTGGGGCCTCCTGGTTCCCCTTTCGCTGCGTGACTGTGACTGCACGGGACAGCTGCATTTCGGCTCCCTCCGCTGCGCCCATGTGCCAGTTTGTGCATCTTGGTTTGCATGTACAGCCCACCCTGAGGGCTGCTTTGCGTGCTGAGCTCTTCAGAGAACCGGGACCCGCTGTCTATCCACGCTCTGCCGGTGACATCACCCTGTGAACAGTGATGTCTGGGAAGCAGGATAAACAAAGGCCATCCCAGAGGGAGTTTCTCCGATTCCAAACGTTTGATCTCCAAGTCTGGCTGAAACGACCATGGACAGAATATTTCTGGCTGGCCTCTCCGTCCCCTGCCCGCACCCACCATCCTGAACCCCAGCTCTTAGAACCTTCTGCTAGCATTTGCAAAGAATCACTCCCCAGGGAGAAAAGCCTGTCTTCTTCCTGGAACCATTTTAAGCCCAAAAGGGCCTTTAAAAATACATTTAATAGTTGGACAGCATCCGTCCCCTTTTAACCTCTGAGCTCATTCCCTCTGGGAATCCAGTGACATTTAGGTTCCTGTGTGTAAGTTGTTTTTTCTGTAGATTAGCGGGTTTTTGGGGGGGGAGGGGTAAACATTCCCCCTGCAAAATTATTTTCACATTTTAAGGAAATGTCTTTCAAGGGCCCAGTCAAAATGACTCCTAGTCTGTTCCCTGCACTAAAACCCCCAACTCCACTCTCTCACTCTCCAACTTCCCTATTTCTGAACAGCTCAAATTCAAACTGCTTCTGCTGTTTGTTAAAACATCCCCCCTTCCTGAAAATTCCCTCTCCAGATTATCTCACCCAGGATTGCAGGGAGAGCAAAGCCCATGGAGATGACAGAGGCCCGAGAAGGTCAGGAGGGGTGAGGTCATTGTCCAGGTCACTGTCCCCACCCCTCCCTGCCAGGTGCCGTCCAGGGCCCCCACGGGGCGACTCTGAGGGGCTGGTAGTTACCAGAGGAAAGAGCGTTAAGTAACTTCTTCACCAAGTGAAGTGAAGTGCGCCTTGTGAAGGGCCTACAAGGGCATCTGTCCTCGGGGCTTCTTGTCGAACGTGGCTGTTGCTGTTGTTTGAGCCGGGGGTCTCACTGTATTCTCCGGGCTGGCCTCCAACTTGCAAAACTTCTCTTGAGTAGCCAGACCCAGCGAACACCACTGTTGAGAGTTTGGTCTAGTTTGGTTCAGTTTTAAAACAAGACTATGTATCAGGGAAACTGCAAACAGCCCCTCTGACTGGTCAACAGCACAGCTCCAAGTGACACTGGGTTAGCTGCAGTCTGTCAGCACAAGTTCCCGCCCTTGGTGACGGGGCAAGGTAGAGGCTTAGACTGTGGACCTGCCTCTCGTCTGTAAAGTGCAGGGGGCCCAGACTCTTTCGATGGCAAAAACACAGCGGAAAGTGGCGTTTCTTTGACTAATACTTGCATGATGGGGAGTATTTGATTAGTCATCTTTTTTCTATCTGTTCTGTGAGGGAACCAGGCATGGGGGTGCTCTCCTATAAGCCCAGCATTTCATGAGGCTGAGGCAGGAAGATTGCAAGTTCCAGCCTATCCTGGGTGAGTTAGCAAGTTAGTGACATCCTGTCTAAAAATTAAAAATACAACAAAGGGCTGGGGAAGTATCTCAGTGCAAATGCCCTGCATGTGATGCCCAGCACACACACACACACACACACACACACAATACTGTAGTTTTTTTTAATCATAAAGGCTAAATGAGAACATCATATGTCTAGTGTCATTTAAACATTAAAAAATTGTTGTGTTTTTATGTACTAGTTAAAAATAAATTTCATTTAAGAACCATACTGTGGAGAAGGTAGTTTTCCTCTGCCCTGCTAAGGTCTCCAGCAGGGACTGACCAAAGAAGACGTTTCACAGATTCTATTTACACACGTGTATGGGTGTCTACAAAAAAACAGGAAGACCCAAAACAGCAGTTGGAGCTGAGCACTTTATGGCCACAAACAGTAAACTGCGGGAAAAGAAACTGGAGAGCAGCGCCCTCACCAAGGTCTGTTCCCACCTCTGACGGGAAGAATATTTCTCTTTCAGAGGGAGGCCGTCTTTCACATGGGCCTTCTTATCCTGTTTTCAGGAAGGAAAATGGAAAGTCACCGTATCCTTACACCTGCTTTGCTGTTTCTTTTTTGAGTTTTGCTTTTTGGGAGTGGCTGGGGGTCAGAGCCAGGGCCTCGTGCCTGCCAGGCTGCTGTTCCCTGTGGAGCTGTGTGCCCAGCCCTTCCTGGCGGCCTCCAAGTGCTCTTAGCCAACATAATCAGTGTCCCAAAGCAGCCGCTGTGGCGTGGCCTGTGCTGGAGCCCTTCCCTGGCTTTCCAGTTGTTCAGTCCAGGTCTGACCCTGACATAAGCCTTTTCCTCCTCACTTTGTGGATTCTGAGGTTCAGTGAACGTGGAATCACTGTGCCAGTTCTCTTTCACGGACACTGTTTTAATATCGTTGCAGTTCCAAAATGCAGTAATCGTCACCGTGTACAAGACTCAAATCCATTTTAATTTCTCCTTCAGATCTATATCATCAAACGGAAGCAAGAGCCAGGTGAGTCCTCCTTGTCCTATGTTCCTAACTCATTTTCTATGCTGCAGTTTCCATCAGATACTGTAGAAAGGAAAGCAAAACTAAGTATCAGCCTCTTCTTCATTGACAGTCTCCTGGAGCCACCAGAACCAGGCAGCAAGGCACCGTAAATCTGTGCTGTCTATAGGTTGATTTCGAAACTGAAAACCCATAAACAGCATTTAATGTTAGGATTCTGAAAATATGATCTGCTGCAGGAATCAGTAGTGTGATCGGACCCACTGGAAGGAAACGCAGTCCTCTGCAACCTGTGCTTCAAGGCCGAATGGATTCTCACTTCTGCTCAGCTCTCCTCGCCTTCTCCGGAATGTACTGAGCTGCTGCTCTGGCTCCTAACTCAGCTTCAAATGACCTCAGTGTGTGCCCAGGCCAGCAGTGAGAAAATAGAAAAGAAAAATTAAACTAAAAGCAACCCCTAAGCCAGTGAAGTTCCCTTGGCCCAGCTGAACAAGATGGGCAGCACGAATTGAATTCTCTTCCTTGATTTTCTGCAGTTAAGTCTCTCTGCAACATTCCTCAAGTTGGGATGAACAGAGGTGCTCACTTGGGGTCATATAGCAGCTGTGGCCCTTCAGGATCTCACTTTGGCAAAGAAAACAAAGGTGCAAGGTTGACCAGATGACTTCACAAGTGTTTAGTTGTGAGGTCCAAATCGAAACTTCCAGGGTTCTGACCCCATCAAGCCATACTTGGGCCACATTTTCTGGCAAAGGCCACAACCTAGTGCTGCAGAGGAGAATAAGAAGGGCCCCCTGGATCACTCCTTTCCATGAACAGCATCTGAGAGAGGAGGGTCAGTGGACAGTGCCTTGGACACACAGCCTGTGTGGAGGAGAGAAGCTGCAGGACAGTACTCCTGAGATCAACTTGTAGTCCCACACACACACACACACACGAAAATCAGAGCTATGGATCTCAATTACTCTTTGGTATGTTGCAAGTGGTTACAAACTAACATTCAGATCACCATAGTTTGAAAAAAGTTGCTTTAAAAATATAAATGATATGAGGCCAAGGATTTAGCTCAGTGGTTTCACCACTTGCCTTGCACACACCAAGTCCCAAGTTCAATCCCCAAAAAAGAAAGAAAGAAGAAAAAAAAACATATATATATATATATAACAGTGTATTCTAAGTCATCTTTCAGTGTTAAGAAAGTCTTTTGTCTTTTTTTTAAAGAACATCTCTGGCTGGGTATGTAACTTGGTGGTAAATCACGTGCCTCACATGCAGAAGGAAAAGAAGAAGAAAAATGTGTATGCAGGAACCCGTCTGAAGGGGAAAATTGTTTCTAGGGACACTGACATTAAAGGATAGGCAGGAAACAGCCTTAAAAGGACAGACCAAGTGGAAGGACCCCTGAATTGTGCCATAAATGACAGAAGCAGGAACACATCTTGTTTACTGTTTTGGTTTGAAAGAGGCAGGCCCAGAAGGGTAACAGAGCTGTGATCTGGGCGGTGTGGCTGAAAAACACTCCAGAGATGGTCACCAAGGTTCCACAGTGCACCTTGCCACAGAAGGATCTTGTTGGATCTGTGAGAACTGGTGACTGGCTCCCACCCTCCACTCGGCACCCACTCTCACGCAGGGTCAGACTAAGATTTGTGAGGGTTTTTTAAACGGTATTGGGGATTGAACCTGGGGCCTTTACACTGAGCTATACCTTCAGCCCTTTCTGTATGTTTTGTTTTGAAATAAGGTCTCTGGAAGTCAAGTTGCCCAGGCTGGGCAGGAGCTTTCCATTCTCCGGCCTCAGCCTCCAAGAGTGCTGGGATTGCATGCCTAGTTATAGTTCTTCTTTTCTACAGGGGCAGGACCATGTGTGGAGGGAAAGGTGTTACAGCTTGTATCTCGATGTCCTCCCAAAGCCTCATGAGCTCACAGGTGGGGCTTTTTAGCGCTGGCTGGATCTAGAGGAAGTGAGATTAAAGGTGTGTGGTACTAAATTAGCCCACTGATTACTTGAACATAATTCTGGTGGCCTGGATGGGATAAAGGGGAAGGGCAGCGGCAGGCTGGCAGCTGCTGCTTTGCTGCCTCCTACCTGCCATGCCATGAACTGTTTCTCCTCTCTGATGCTCCTCTGCCATCTACCTCAGAATCAGCCAAACGTGGACTGAAAGCTCTACAAAGTGTGAGGCAAAATAAACCTTTCCTCTTCAACCTGTGGGTGTTTGGAGTTTTCTCTCAGCAGTGAGAAAAATAACTAAGACAAAGGGTGAACTGACTTTAGAAGACAGAAAATCATTGTGTCCCCAGTGTGCTCCTGGCCCAGCCTCCTGACAGCACGTACCTGGAGCTTCCTGAAATTCCTGCCACCATCCCTACATCTAGCACACCACAGACACCAGGACTGATGCTCGTGACCTCTGGGCAGGCTG